GGAGGAAGAAGCAGAAGGAGAGAGAAAAACAAAGAAAGGAAGGTCCTTTTATCAGTTTGGGGGTGGGCTATTGCTTATTTATGAGGAGTGAGTTACTTTTAACCTATCACAGGCCAGATTGCTTTTATGGGCCCAGTCCTGCAGACACAGGTTTCAACTTTCCTGGACCACTGTGGCCTTGGGGGGGAGGGAAACCAGAGATAAGGGCATGAGGTCATTTTAGGGGCCAAGATGTACCAGGAGAATGCAGCCTGCGAGGCGGCGTCACAGCATCCTTTAACATGATCAATTCCCTAACAGAGAACATCATATGCAAAGGCTCAGAGAAAGGGGCTCGGTGTGCGCAGATGTGAGAAAGGTCAGACTGAGCAAAGCTGGGGAAGGGGAAGCTGAGAGGAAAAAGCGAAGTAGGGGTCCATGGCAGAGGGCTTCTGACTCCATACTGCAGGCTGCCGACTTTGCTCTGAGCACAGCAGGCACTGGCAGTAGTGTAGGTGGGAAACTGGAGGAGGTAAGAGATCACAATGACCTGGACTATGGAAAGCAAAACAGAAAGAAGTGGTGTGGAGCGGTCTGGGCAATGACGGTTGCAGAAGGGAGTCTGGAAGAGGGAGGAGTTGAGAGGACTTCCGGGGCGGCTGCTTGTGGTGCTGTCCACTCATCCGGTGGAGGTCTGGGTGGGTAGATAGTGGTGCTGAACCCTGAGATGAGGAAAAGGGGGCGGGTTGGATTTGGGGGTGGACAAAGTGGTGGGAATTCGGCCCTGGGCGTGGTAAATCGATGTCTGTTAGTTGGCTGGGGCAGTTAGCTATGTGGGTCTAGAGCACAGGAGACAGATCTGGGAGGGAGATACATTTTATGCGATTGCCATGTTTCGGGGCACCAGTTTCTTCCTAAGGGCGTGAGGCTCTCACCTCATAATGGAATCATCTGGAGATCGCCTCCGGCAAAGTCACACTTTAGCCTCGTACCTTGTATTCATTTCTCCTTTGTGTCCAGATGGCCACCTAAATTGCAAACTCCCCGAGGGCATGTCCCTCCTCTGGATCACACTTCTAAGTGGGGAGTCGTCCTCTGCCTGTCCCCAGTTCCCAGAGGGGCTTGCACACCTGCCCCAGGGAGCATCTGAGTCACTTCCTCCTGCATCTCTGCAGCCCAAGCCTCAGAACGCAGTCACCATTGCTGTGTCCTCCCGGGCCTTGTTCCGCATGGATGAAGAGCAGAGGATCTATACAGAGCAGGGCGTGGAGGAGTACGTCCGCTACCAGCTGGAGCATGAGAATGAGCCCTTCAGCCCCGGGCCAGCCTTCCCCTTTGTGAAGGTGAGGGGCAGCTCCAGCAGCAGCCTGCCATGTGCCTTTGTAGGGTGAGAAAAAAGCGTCCCATCTGAGTAGGAGAAGTCTCCTCTGGGCAATGCAACCCGCCCCAGGCCAGGCTTGGCTGGGGGCACAGCCCTTGTGGGAAGAAGAGGTCACCCCTTCTCTGGTATGATGCAGCTCTCCCAGGTAACCCACTCAACTCTATAGTGAGGTGCCCCTGAGCAGCGAGCCCCCGCATGAAGGCAGAATCCCCCCCCCACGTGGCAGAGTGGCATTAGGAGGTAGCACACGAGCCCTGAGCTCATCCCAGGCCTGTCCCCCTCACTGCACCCAGCTGCAGGTATCCATCCTGGGGGGTCAGAGCTAGAAGGTGCCCTCTCCTCTCCCTTCCAGGCCCTGGAGGCTGTAAACAGGCGGCTCCGGGAGCTCTACCCCGATAGTGAGGACATCTTCGACATTGTCCTCATGACCAACAACCACGCTCAGGTGGGAGTCCGTCTCATCAACAGTATCAACCACTACGGTGAGCGTGAGGGGTCAGTCCGAGGGAAGCCCCTCCCGTGTCCCCTGGGGGTGGGCACTGGTAAACTGACCCCTTAAAAAAACCAGATGAACAAAACTCTGATCTGAAGCGTTGCCAGTTTTCAGTGTATAAATAGGCCTACTGTGGCTGAACAAGATAACTGGCTCACAAAATCCCTGAGTGTTTAACCATCAGCTCTTACAAGCCAGCTGCAGCACACACTGCACAGGGCCCGCTCCCTGCGTGACTGAGCAGGGCACTCACTGCCTCTGCACCTCTTCCTCCCTTCCTACAATGGGCCCGATGGGGCCTCACGAGGCTGCTGGGAGTCAGAGGCACTTGTCAGAGTGAAAGGGCTTCTGTGTCTTGGTCCAGACTGGACACTGCAGGGACAGTCTCTCCGGAGCTGGCTTCAGCTGAAGAGAGTAATTGCTCTTTGGGTCCAGGTATCTCAGAACCACACAGGGCAGGAGGTAAAATTGGACCCACAGAGGACTGAATCGAAGCGCTGGAAACCTCTTTTGGGTTCTTCTCTCCTTTGAGACACATGGGCCTTTATTTGTGCTTCTTTAGTAAGTTCATTCCCCCCCCACCCTATTTCTCTCTCCCCAAATTGGATTTCTCTGCTTTCTGAATATGAAACTAAGACAAAGAAAAGCAGAGAAATCCAGTTTGGGGAGAGACAGACAGAAAAATAAACCTATCTTTATAAAAGTTTATAAAACCTTGTTTTAGGCATCCAAGAAGAGTTTAATTTACTTGACTTATTTATTTATTTTGGGTGCTAGGGATTGAACCCAGGATCTCAGGCATGCTAAGCATGTGCTCTACTACTTAGCTATGGCCCTACCCCGCCAGCTGCCATTTTTTAATACTAATTTTAACCTCCTGCGATGGGCGGTGATATTAAAAATACTTGACTGAAAAAAAAATACTTGACTGCCTGTGTAACAGGTGCTGAGCAGTAGGGACAGACATCACATACAGTGCCACTACAGGGTGCCTTTCTGTTGGGGTCTGTGAGGAGGTCAGGGTCCTGGGTAACTCCGTGAGCTGAGCTCAGAACAGCAGCAGCCATTTACCGAACAGCAAGTATTTCACAACTGTGCTGCCATGGGGACTGTGCTGCCCAGGCTGGGAGAGAATTTGATTGGTTCAGCTGGGTGAGGCAGGGTCTGCCCCTACCCAATCAGCTGTGGCCAGGAGGCAGAGTCCCAGTCATGGCCATAGGATCCATCTTTTGATGTGATTCCCTGATATGAGGGGGTTTCTGTGAGTCAGACGGTTGCTGCCAAAGATGTGATCATTCCCATCTCATTGGTGAAGTAAGAAAGGACTCAGAGGAGCAACACTGGCCTAAAATCACAGAGAATCGCTGTGCTGCCCCACCTCCATCCAAGATGGCATGTTAGGTACCGAGAGATCGATCATTTTAGGGCCCTAAGGTTGGCCTGGCCTCACCTGGATACTCTCTACCTCCTCCCTAGATCTGTTCATTGAGAGATTCTGCATGACAGGTGGGAATAGCCCGATTTGCTACCTCAAGGCCTATCACACCAACCTCTACTTGTCAGCTGATGCAGAAAAAGTGCGAGAAGCCATTGATGAGGGTAAGTCAAAATGAGAAGGGAGAACACGAAAAATCCAGCAGCAGGGTCCTGGAGGTAAGAGGCCTGGTCCTGCGTCTCTGAGCAGGTGCTTTGGGTTGCTGTGGAACTGGAAGGGGGATTGTGGAAAAATTCCTACGATCTGTCTTATAAACTCTGAAAACAATACTCACTCTTTCACCTTCCCACTTCCTGCCTCACTGGGTTAAGGATGCATTTACTCATCAACGTCATCCAGCTTTCTGTTTCCATGGGAACCCTTCCTTACAGCTCAGAAAGCTACCTCCTTCCGCAACTCCTCCAGGTCAGTAGGAATTCTGACTCCTGGGTGAACATAGGCAGCCTCTGACTCTCTCTTTAGGCTGATGGGAAGAGGGAACCGTTTCTGGCCCAGCTTGAGTGGTGGGCTCTGGGAAATGGCCCATATTTCCAGAAGCTGGGCTGGCCAGCATTGCGGTGAGGTTAGAAGACCAAGCTTCAAACACTGATAGAGCGAAGTTCCCTCCATACGCCTTTCCAAGGGGCAGTTTTGAGTGGTAGCCAGCGATGCTCATGGCCTGGTCCTGCCTGGCATCCTCGGGCTAGGTAAGTTTCTGTGAGGCTTGTACCTTTCTCTCCTCTCAAAACTTGGCTGAGACCCTACCTGGATTCTCTAAGAGCAGGGCAGAAGTGGCCTTCGGAGAGAGATGAAGGCAGGAAACCAGGAAACAGTCTAAGCCAGCTGCCAGAAACCCTGGTGTCCGGTGCAGCTGGAGCCTGGTCCCCAGCAAGTGTCCTTGCCCCTTGTGGAGCCCCAGCTGGAGAATGTGCGCACACAGTCAAGCGTAGCTGTGCGTAGCCTGCCGCATCACCTCATGGAACATGAGTGGGCAGACTGCCCTGAGTAGGGCGAAGCTGGGGGCCACAGTGGCTAGAAGGGGCTCACACAGAGCTGAAAGGCCCTGGATTTTACCTTGGTCCCGAGGTCAGTGACTTGCCAGAATCAGCAGTGAGGGGTGATTGTGGCCAAGCCAGAGTGGGGCTCCTTCCCAGCCCTCCTGTCATCCATATCAGGGGTTTATGAGGAACCCCAAGCAGGAGCGCCGTGGCCTAGGGGACCCTTCTTCTAGGACTGCTGTTGCCGGTTGCTCCTCACCAGCATGATCTGTTTTTTTTTGAGACAGGGTCTCACTATGTAGGTGAGACTGCCCTGGAACTCACTCTGTAGCCCAGGCTGGTCTTGGACTCACAGCGATTCTCCTGCCTTAGCCTCCCTGAGTGCTGGGATTACAGGGGTGTGCCACCATGCCTGGCAACATGATCGAACTAGGTAGTAAAGTCCTGACTCCTTCAAACTGGTTGGTGAGTAACCTTTAGCCCCCTGAATGTACTCCTTCCAGCAGGACTCCCCCACATGTCTCCACAAAGCATCAATTTAAGGAGTAACCCAGGCACAGGCAAGACCCTTGACAGCCTTGTCTCAAAACTCTGGCTTCTGTCCTTTTTTTTTTTTTTTAAAACAAGGTCTGACAATGTAATTCAGGCTGGCCTTGAACTTCCTACATGGCCCAAATTGGCCTTGAACTCATAGTGATCCTCCTGCCTCAGCCTTCTAAGAGCTGGGATCACAGGCACGTGCCACAATGCCCAGCGCCTGTCTATTCTTATGGCCAGTGTCCATGCAGCTGGTTTTTAAATAATTTTAACACTGGCCTTTGTCAGCCTTTCCCTGAGTCCTGGAGGAGCAGTTGGGAGAAGGACAGACTGAGACTGCCCTCCCTTGAACCCAGGCAGGGGGCTCGGTTGCCTGGCCTGAAGGCAGACAATGTTTGTCTCCCTCTGCCCAGGGATTGCAGCTGCCACCATCTTCAGCCCCAGCAAGGATGTGGTTGTGTCTCAGACTCAGCTGCGTGTGGCCTTCGATGGGGATGCTGTACTCTTCTCGGATGAGTCAGAGCGCATCGTCAAGGCCCATGGGTTGGACAGGTTCTTCGAGCATGAAAAGGCCCATGAGAACAAACCTTTGGCCCAGGTACTCCACATAGTCCTCGACACACCTCTTTCCCAAAACCAAACCCACCGTCAACCCAGATTCCTGCCAGATCCCCTTACCAAGCTTTAAGCCCTCATCCCTCTCACTGGACCCTGGCTGTCCTCCTTGGGCCCCTGTCCCCTTCACTGAAGTCCTCCCCACTATGAAACCTCCATTGCCTCTCCAAGCCCCTCTCTAGAGCTCTTTCCCCCTCCTGGCAGCTCCAGTCCCCTTTCTGAGGCCTCCATCCCTTCTCTGAAGCCTACCTGTTCCCCCTTAGACCCCCTCCTTTGTCTGAATCTTCTTTGTCTCTGAAGCCACTGTCCTGTCTCTGGAATCCTCACCCCCCTCTCTGGGATCCACCACCCTAAGAAGCTCTCATCCCTCCGGCAGTCCCTGAGTCCCTCCCTGGAGGACAGGAAGAGCTGGGTGGGCACTCGCACTGGGCAGAGGGAACCTGCCGGCTGTGGAGGCTGGAGCGACCCTTTGCTTGGACCACCTCTGGCCATGCCTTGGTCGGGGGCTCAGGGGTCCTCACTCACCCTCGTACTGTTCAGTGCCTCTCTGAGAGTGGAATGTGTCCTGGAGCTTGGTGGAGATTCTCTGGGGATGGCACTGTATGGTTTTCCAGCTCTCCTGGTAGCTCTAATTCAAGCTTTGCACAAAAGTCTAGGCAGGGGCATACAGTTTTCCTACTAAGTGATTGTAAGAGGCTGAAGAAATCACAACTGATCACCCAGAAAGAAATAGGTCTCCAAGACAAAAAAAAACCACCTTTCCTTATTTCCAGCTGCCCTCCTGAGATATACCGGGCCTTTTCTTCATGACTGTCTGGCTCTTTGCTCACATGTCCTTGTTGAGCTTCGTTTTCTGGGCACCACAGAGAAAAAAAAATGCACACCTTTCCTTGACCTTGGAGAGCTTGGGCCGGACACCTGAGCTGCCTGTGTGTCCGTGAGCTGGTTTGTATTCGGCAGCTACACATTGGCCCATCTGCCCACTTGTTTATGGCTGGAGTTCATTCTGACCTGAGGGTACATGGGCCTTAGTGACTAATTTTAATATCTTCCCTGCTGGTGGCCACAGAAGGCCACACTTAGAGAAGTGCAGTCAGACACTTGCAGATAGGGATACAGATGGCTGTGCATAGCAATGGTTGCCCTGCTGTGGTTATTCTAACACAGCCCCAGTCACAGTAAGATGTACAGTGGACTGCAGGGCTCTATAGTGCTACTGGTGCACATGGGAGCCCAAGCAAATGTAGCAGAACTGCCAAAGAAATTAGGGGTCATGAGGAGTTTTTTTTCCCCCCAAACAGCAGGACTCTGATGCTCTTGGGAGAGGGGCAAATGTTTGGGAGAGGAGCTCACTGTGTTCCCTTACTTTCTCACAGGGTCCCCTAAAGGGCTTCCTGGAGGCCCTGGGTAGGCTGCAGAAGAAGTTCTACTCCAAGGGCCTACGGCTGGAGTGCCCAATTCGCACCTACTTAGTGACAGCACGCAGTGCAGCCAGTTCTGGGGCCCGGGCCCTCAAGACCCTGCGCAGCTGGGGCCTGGAGACAGATGAGGCCTTGTTCCTAGCTGGAGCACCCAAGGGCCCCCTCCTTGAGAAGATCCGCCCACACATCTTCTTTGATGACCAGATGTTCCATGTGGCTGGGGCTCAGGAGATGGGCACTGTGGCTGCACATGTGCCTTATGGTGTGGCGCAGACACCCCGGCAAACTGTACCTGCAAAGTAGGCTTCAAGTGCACAGTAGCTGAGCTTTTGCTCCAGGATCCTTGTCTGGTGAACCTCCTAGTTCCCCACCATCCTGCCTGCCTGTATGCTGGCTCTCATCCCTCTGAGTGTGGTTCTCCAAGGCAATTCCACAGACTGGGCCAGGATTCTCACCGTCCCTCCTTTTGGCCAAACACTGTGCCGTGATGCTGGCCGGGACAGTAGAACAGTGCAGAGTAGCTGAACTGCACGGAGAGGTTGCTGGGACTGAGGGTGGAAGGGTCCAAGAAGTCGGGTTGCCTCAAAGAGAGCCTTAGACAGAAACCAGCTCAGTGTGTAGTACAAAGAACACTGCTGTGAGAGAGGGTGATTCTGATGTCTAAACTCTGCCTTCGCAAGAACAGCATGACTTTGGGTATCTCCTGGGCCACAGTTTCCCCATGTTTTAGGTAGTTTTTAAACCCTCCTTTAGCCAGCGAGGTTGGTTTTTATAAGATGGCCCTTTGAAGGAGGCATTCTGTGCAGGGCTGCTGTACGCCTGGCATATTACAGAAGGGCTCTCTTCTAGGGGAAAAGACAGCCCTTCTTCTGGCCTGACCCAGTCCCATGCTGGGTTACACACCCTCGTTAGCAAGATACGGGCTGGATTTCAGACCCACTTGCCCCTCGGCCCAATGGCCTTTGTCAAATGGGCAAACGCCTATCTGTAATTTTTCGCGTTTGCAAACCACTGGACAAGGCAACTTGTTTCCTGTGATATTCTGACCTGAACTGTGGTGATCCATGGCCAAGTGCGAGATTTGCTGAAAGGAGCCAAGATTTGGTCTTCATGCAAAGTCTCCTCTGGCCGGCAGGGGACACTGCAGACTCTTTCTGGGGAGAAGATTGTGTGGCTGTCAGTGAAAGGTTTCCTTTTGCCTCAGCTTTTAACCAAAGTTCAGTTGTTCTGCCAGCCAATCCCCACCTCAGCCCTCAATCCCCCAGTCATGGCATCCTGCTGCGCTCTTAGGCAGCTCTGCCTGTGGAGAAAGACAGGAGACTCTGTGGCCCCTGACATGCAGGAGAGAAGGCCCAGTGTGTGAACCGGCAGCTGTGCGGCCTGAGCAGAGGTAAGGCACTGCCTGAGTGACGTGGGAACTATCCAGAGGCCTGATGTGAAATCAGAGGAACTGAGGCACTGATGGCTCAGACAGGAAGTTGCTGAATGCACAGTAGCAGAATTCTCCCACTGTGGATAGTGAGTCAGAGCTGAGCGCTCTCCCTGAGGGTACCGGTGACTTCCACTCTTGCAGTAGTACCTTTTCCCCATTCGTGTCCTAATGGACCAGCCTTCCTTCCCCTGTGCTGAGCAGTCCTGGCTCCTGCAGAGGAAAGGTAGAACCATGATGACCGGCCCCTAGGACGACCGAGACGGGGCGAGAGGACCCCTGTGTATGTCCCTGCTGCCCGGCTCCTGCAAGCATCCTAGCTGTGAGTGAGTACTTTGTGAAGAAAGCCAAGGGTATCCTCTGAGGGACAGGAGCCTCGAGGCATGGGATGAAGGGTGACCTGGACAGCCCAGCCCTTGTCCTTCGGAGCACTCAGCCCAGAGATACTGCGCGACCTAAGAACAGCTGCGAGGAAATGATGGGGGCGGGGGCGGGGGCGGGAGACAGACTGAGAAACAGAGAGCGAGCTCAGCCTCAAGGTCATCCTCCTCTTGCCTGGACCACACAGAAGGCCTGTGTTCCGCCTGCTGCCAGGATCACAGTTGCCCCCTTGGAGGAGCCTCTAGAGCTTACAGAGACAGCGGCTGTAAGACACCTGCAAGGCCGGGCATGGCTCAAGCTCACAGAGTGGGCCTGTGCACTCTGAGGGCTGTCGCCTAATTAAGATGAACTCCAGCGACTGACTGTGGGACCTGTGAGGTTCAGCCCCAGGGCCTAGGAATAGACTCCGTAGAACCTTTCAGCTGGCTCAGGAAGCAGGAAGATAGGATGTTGGGAACAGAAAGATAAGGGGCAGTGAAGGCTGTGGATTTGAGTAGAGCCACCATTAATGGATGTAGACAGCCCTGGGCAACGGGGAGACACTAAAGGTCCAAATTCTATTACTGAAACCACAGATGAACATCTCGAGCCTGGAAAGCAGCTTTCAGAAACTGGCATAAAAGGCAGACGTCCCAGAGGCAGGGTTTGGAGGCAGCAAGACAGGCTTCCTGGTTCTGAGCAGGGCCCAGGGGCCCCAGGAAGTTACAAAGTCAGCTGAGCAGCAAAGCCCCAAGCCCCAAGCCCCAAGCCCAGTCTCAGCCTACATCATTGGGGAAGAGGGGCCACAGCTTCCAGAACACTGGTCCCAGGAAGTGCTTGCCATCAAAGTCCCAGACTCAGTGGAACTGCCAGATGAACAAAGCTCTGTTATTAAGCACAGAGTCTGCTCAGATCATCTCAAAACAGCCCTTGCCCTACCAGAGAGTCCAATCAGAGCAGTGGGAGTGGTAATGGAACTTGCTAGGCAAAAGCAAACAAACAAACACAGCAAGAAGTTCAATCCAAGATGGATTCAGCATGGTGATGGTAGTGTGCGTCCTTACTGCAAAAGCGATCACGGACACACTGAGAAACATCTCCACACCAGTTGGTAAATAGCCCTACCCTGAATGTCCCCTGTGACTTCTGCTGCCCTGGCCACTCCGCTGTGAATGTTCTGTCTTCCTGGGGCTGCACCAGCACCGTGGCCCGTGTCCACTCTATTTGGTGCCATCCCACTGCGCTGGTTTAGAGAGTTAAAGTAACTTGTCCAAAGCCACCCAGCTAGCAAGTGCTGGTGCTGGGACTCCAAGTTTGTGTCTGTCTGATGCTGCGACCAGGTTCTCGGTACTACCTGTGCTTGTTGGAAATGCTGGAATGCATTTCGGTGGCTACACTGGTTACAGCTTCCTAACTAAAAGCAACTTCAGTTAGAGCCAAACATTTGCAGACTCCCTGAAGACGCACTTCCAAACAGCCCCAAGTTCTGTGGAGCCCAGTTTGAAAACCCCTAATTTGCTCTAATGTGGGATTTGGTAAACTGGGAACCCTTACGCCAAACCTGATCTCCAGCATGTCTTTATTTTTGTTTTATTTTATTTGGGGGCCTGTCCTTTGTTTTTGAGACACCGTCTCTCTGTGTAGTGCAGGCTGGCCTTGACCCACTGTGTGGCCCAGGCTGCCCTCAAACTTGTGCTGATCCTCTTGCTTCAGCCTCCTGTGTGCTAGGATGGCAGGTGTGTGCCACTGCGCCAGGCTATTTGGCTTTGAGACAGAACCTCACTGTGTATTCCAGGAGGGCCCTGGACTCAGAGAACTTATGTCTGGCCTCCTGAGTGTTGGGGTTATGGGTGTGTGCTACTGTGCCCAGCTGTACTCCTTTTATTTGGTCTCCATTAGTTTACGTGTTTCTGAGCTGCAGTTCTTGAACTGCTTCAACAGAGATGAATGGTGGGGAGAGACTGCAAGGCCAAAACTATTTATCAACTGGTCCTTCACAGAAAAAATTTACTGGCCCCTGGGCTGGGGCAAAGATCCCTGGCCCATACCTCAGTGGAATAAATCAGGCCTCCCCGACCTAAGTTTTAGAGGACAGGCCTTAACTCCACTGCTGAGGGGCAGGGTTAGGAGGCTTTGTGACTGCCTGATCCTTGCTTAACATTTGAGGATTTCAGATTCTAAACTGTAGTCATCTGTAATCCCAGCTATCTGAGGCAGAAAGATCACAGGTCTGAGGCCAGCCTGGGCGAAATAGCTCAGTCCTGTCTCAAAAATAAAAATGAACTAGAATCAAATTCCAAGTTTTGACTGTGTTTAGTGGCTCATGACCTATTGTTATTTGCTACTTAGTTGATGCATGAATTTGACTTGAGCCAAATTGAGACAGCCTCCCAAGCTGATGGCTGAGGGTGCAGGGAGTAGGACCCTTGCCTAGGGACGAACTCTGCTCGTTGTCCATTGTCTGCTCAGTGTGGCTTTGTGCTCTCTGTTTGTCATTGGCCTCATGGGACCTCTTGGGCAGTGAGGAGTGCTGGTAAGTGGGTGGGTGTTCAAAATATGTTTTGGAGAAAGCAAAGAAGCCCGGCATTGACTTCAGCAGCTCAGATCTAACAAGTCATCCTTAGGTGCTCTCTGAAAGCAAGAACAAGTTCCAGGCGAGCTTTGTCTGCCTCAGAAGCTGTGGATCAAGTGAGAGATCAGACTCTAGTAAAAGTTGGAATGGTGGAATTTTCTTGTTCCATGAAGGTGTTAGCAACAAACATACCCTCACAATGGAATCGCGTATCAGAAGGTTCTGGGATCCGCTGCAAAAATGTCAAGAGTGGAGGCTGTCCCGCCTACAGCACCGTGGCTATTCCATCACCATAGCCCTCTCTGCTAAGGCCAGACTTGGCCTCAGAGCCCTCCACCCAGCACTCCAGGCATCGCTACCTCAAAAATGGATCCTTTCTGGTCACCCCTGTTTTGTGTTGGGAATTGCTTTCCTGGAAGCACGTGAGGCCCCAGATGCCCATTCCCTGACGGTGTGGTACAACTCCAAGGATGCCGGGGTCTCACTGCCTTGGGTGGAGCACAACAGGGAGGAGGAATGAGTGGCATCCCATGGTTGGCAGCTTCCCTGGACAGGGTGCCGGAAAAGCATCATCCTGAGTTTTGCAGCCTAGAAGGAAAGGGGGAAAAAAAACCTCTCTTGCCAGTAGGTGGCACTGCAGGCCAGCACCCAGCTGCTGGCTGTGATTAGTGTTTTTTACTCCCTGATTACTTTTCTCTCCCACAGCTTCTTGGTGCTGTGCTTGTCCCTCTTGCCAAGTAGTTCTAGCCAGCCAAAAAAGGACCTCAGGTGCTCTGAAAATTTTTTTGAACATACCTGTGTGACAAGCTGATGGCTCTCGCCGATAACCACTGTGATTGTGTATAGAGATGCACGCATAAGTGTGTACAACAGGATAAAAACTGCATGGATGTGTGTTTTGTGCGTTATGTGTAATGGCTCTGGCAGCTCTGCTGATGCCTGTGTGTGCGCGCTGTTTGTGTTCCTCACTATGAGTGTGTACAGGTGGTTATGTCTGTTCATTGAGGACCCTGGGCTCCATACACAGAACTCATGGCCAGTCCTGCTGCTTGGGACTGGTTCTGGCTCTTTCTGCAATCTCACGGACGTTGTATGCGGGTAGCCCAGGGGTCACCGGGGCCATTCCCCTTAGTTTTCCTCCCCAGCTCCCAGCCTCTGCCTAAGGTCTTGGCTCTTAATCGGCTACCTCTTGTCCTTAACCTCAGAACCCTTGGGAAGGAAGTAGTAGAACCTGTGCTAGGACAGCCCGATCGATGATACCTGCCTCACCGTCTTCCTCGTGTGTCTTCCTCCGTCCTCAGTGGCAGAACCAACACAGTTAGACTCATTACGCACTACGAACTTCGAGGGGGAGCTCGTTCGCACAATGACTTGGGTGGTTTCTAAACCTGCAGGATGTGCCAGCTGTGCACAGATGTCCTGGCCATGTCTCATGGCCACGGCTGAGAAGTTGACCTCCCTCCCTATTCCCCCACCCCCCTGGCCCAGTCCAGCCTAGGCTGGAATTCCTTCCTTTGCTTGGGTTTTCTTGTCTGGCCAGAAGTGACCTACCCTTGACCTTGGTTGGGAAGTGTCCCCCTGATGGGCCATTCCCCAGAGGACTTCAGGATGTCATGAATGAAAGTGAAATGTGGCCAGGAAGCTTTTTGCTCCTCATTTTTGCAGTCAGAGGCGTCATAAGGCAAACCAAGGCTATACAGACCAGGATCGGACTCCTGCACTCCCAGCCTGGGGTGGGTGTGTCTGCCACTGAGTTAGGGCAAGGGTTCAAGGCTAGACTCGTAACTGGTACTAGTACAAAATCACGGAGGTCACCACAGACCAGCGGTCATAAACTCTACAGGGGCCAGGCAAGAAACAGAAACGAGCAAAGGGAATCAGCAGGGTCTTTAGAGAGGTAGAAACACTGAGCTTCTGATACACTGCTACCTCGTGGGAATACAGGCTGGAGTTGCCAGATATGCCACCCAGTCTTTCATGAGAGGCTGGAAATCTGGACTTTCAAATGTTGGCAACTCTTTCGAGGTTAAAAACCATCCTGCGAGCCAAAGAAAGCATATCTTGTAGGCTAAATCTGGCCCTTAAATCTCTAGTTTGCACCCACTGAGCCAGGTCCTCCCTGAGATTTGGGATTTTTAGACCTAAGTAACTTAGAGTGGGAGGATATCACACCCATAATCATGGTTTGAGAGACTTTGGCAGTGACACAGTTTGACCTGTGTGTGTTTTCAACTATGTTGGTACAGATTGCTTTATTAACTTAATATGCCCATACCCTTAATTCCTGGTTGCCTCTGAAAAGTATCGTAGTCACCCCAGTTTAGAACACGATTACAAATGAAGGCTCCACACATAATGTGCACGTACTCTTCCCAGCTCGTAGCACTCCCTGGGGCTCCAGCCCTACCTGGCCCCTTGCGGCATTTCCCAGGTCACGTGATAAAGGGTGCTACATGCCAGTCAGTGTGGATCCCCTGCACTCCTCACATGTGTCCTACGCCTTCATTTTACAGCCGGGGCTTCTGCATCTTTTTAACAGCCATTCAAATAAATAGAGATTTCCAATAAATTTTATACTGTCTTGGTTTTTTTGATTGGTGGTTTTTTTTAAACCACCGTAGTGTTCCCAAGCCTGCTTGTGCCCCTTAAGAAATGGTAAAGGGCAGGCGGGTAATGAACAGCCCTGGGATCAGTTCCATCCTTGATGTTAGGGTGTATCTGTAGTCCCTCTCCCCCATATAAAGACTACGATGATAGGTATGACAGTACATATCTGAAATCCCAGCATGGGGGAGGCTGAGGCAGGAGAATCACAAGTTGGAAGCCAGCTGGGGCTCCATAGTGAGACCCCTTCTCAAATACAACGAGACCAAAAAAAGGTCTCAATGTGGAGAGGTGTGATGGATGGCAGCCTGAGCCCATCCGAAGCAGGATTCCTTTCCCAGACTCAGGGTGGCCCTCGGAACCACCGGAGGAGGAGGTGGAGTGGGAGGGAGAAGAGAAGATGAGGAAGGGCGTGAGAAGGAGTAAGGGGGTGACCTCAGCCCCAGCCTCCCAGAACTCCTGCTGTACCTCGGCGTCTTTCTGCACCTCCAAGACTGCAGGACAGGAAGCTAGGAGTGGGTGAGCTGGGTGGTTCTCGCCCAGAGCATCTTACGAGATGGTCCTGAAGCCATCAGGTCGGGCTGCAGTCATCTGAAAGAAGCTTGAAAGGAGCTGGAGGATGGAGGATCTGCGTCCAAGGTGGCGCATTCACATGGCTGGTTGCCTGTGTCATCCTTGCGACTTTCCCTGAAGTGAGCAAAGCCACGAGGTAGCCGGCCGCAGAAGTGAAACCTCATCACTTCCTTCATATTCTATTGGCCACGCTGAGCAAATAAGATAGGATGTGGGAAGGGACGACACAGGCAGAGATGATGGGGCCGTCTTGGAGGCTGGCTACTGCAGAGCTCTGTCAGCCTGCTGTAACCAGAGGCCTCCAGGGTTCTCTTAGCCATTCCTCTGGCTACTGGCAAGACTAGACTCAAATGTGCCTCCTTGACTCTCCTCCTGAAGTCCCTCCGCTTTCCCACCCACCCACCCCATCACCCGAGATGGGGCCAGATGTGACTTCTCATCCACTTCCTCGCATCTGTCAGCCTGCAGGTTCTTTCGGGAGCCCTAGAGTCACCCACTTGGGGACATCAAGGAGACTGTTCCGAGATGTCTTGCTCTCACAGTGAGCAAGTTCTCCTAATGTCCCTAAAGCCAGGGGTGCCAGAGCTGGCACTGGTTTGCAGCCTGCAAATCTTGTCCGAAGTGAAGGAAAGGCCCAGGTGGAGGGAGAGGAAGGGGCCCACACCCTCTCCTGCCCAGTCTGTGGTTAAGCACACCAACCTCTGGTGCTTTAACCAAATCCTCTGCTTTCTGACATGGCTCAGACTGGATCTGAGGATACAAATCCTGTGATGTGGTAAAGATGCAGCTGTGGCTTGGAGCAGAAGGAGTAACAGGATAGCAAAGTCATGGACACAGCTCTGCCCCGTCTTGCGTCCTCTCTTTACTCTTTGCTAAACTTGTT